ACTCAATTAATCAATTTTAAAAACTTCAATTTATATATATTAAATTCGGCATTTTAATATCAAAATTTTCATCTCAAAATAGTCTCAAGTCTTTATTATATTTATAGGGATTATATTTATAGGGATTTATTATATTTATATGTCTAAAACATCCTGTATATTACCACGAAATTCTTTTCATTATCATATATATCATTTGTACGAACAAGTAAACGCGGATGTAAAATAATAATAAAAACGCAGTTTTAAATAAAATTAAATTTCGAAGTAAATATGTTTATGTTTAAAAATCAAAATACTAATAAATCATAAAACATCATGTAAACAAACTAATTCTAAATTTTAACAGCTATACAAACTTCCATAAGATTGTTGGTCTTTAATTTATTATTTTTTAATTTAATATTTAATTTAGTATTACTTTTTTTTATAGTCAGTATTATTCAAGCATTTCGTGAATGATCATTCCAAATTGTTTTTGATCGGCTGTATCTCACAATAAAACATTTAACGTCACATTATAATCACACATTTATTCACAAACTGTAAAATTCCACATACATTTATCATATATATTATTGTACACATGTGACTCAATTTAAATAATAGATTCATGTATATACAGGCTATACTAAATCTTACAGTAACAAATTTGCTATGCACTGTTACAATATAGTGCATTTTGAGTTGAGAGGAGATACTTGCTCTGTGCCTTCTTTCATTTCTTTGCTTCTTATTTGCAAGTATGAGTTTTCGAAATTTTTTTCCATCCATTCAGGCAGTGGAGCGTTCCAATTCTCTGGTGGTTTCTCTCGTCTCTCCCAAACATTATTCTGATAATGACTTTGTAATCGATTTATCCTACGTTGCTTTTCACTTTGAATGAGCTTAGCCTGTAAAGATTTTATTCTGATATTTGTAATATGTTCAGATTACATTATTAAAATATTTAACAACCTGCATACATATGCCTCTTCCGATTTGTATTTTTGCCATTGATAACAGTTATCATAATCAATCTTCCATTGATTGCAATCGATACTTTCGCCAAATATGAAGTACTGATGGAAACGAGCTTTTATACTGGTACAATCATCGTATTCATCCTTGTATAATATACATGGTCTTATCTAATGAAGGTACAAATACAAATAATAAATTATTCTATAAAAAACGATGTAAAGATATAATCACATACCGACCAATCATACTGGCGTGATGCTTTTTCTTTATCAGCTTCGCCCATATTCACTAAAGTATATCAATTGCATAAGACTTTTCAATATAAATAAGATTTTTACAATATATATAAAATTGTCTATTATACAATTTCAGTACTGGCAATGAACACAGCCTAAATATATTATAACTAGAAGCGAGGTAGGTCATAAGCTAAGTATTAGGTTAAAGTCGAAAATATAGAAACGATTCTAGGTATCGTTATGTATCGTATATAAGTTAGGTATAGGTTAGGTCTAGATTAAGCGTGCGCGTTTGCGCCTAAGTTTTATAAAATGTGCATTATAAAATGTTATTCGATTATTATAATGACATTTAAATTT